CTTCCGCCGACATGTTCACCGCATCGTTCATCCATGTTACGGTCTCCGGCCACATCGCTTGGTAGGACTTGGCACGCGCGGGAAACTCCACCCCGGGGAAAAGATTCGGGTATCCACCCCAAGCCGCTCGCCCTCCGTCCATCGCCAAGGCAATCCGCCGCTCCACGTGCCCATTGTTCTTCGCGCCATCAGCCGATGTAAATTCGGCGGTGATGTTGGAGTCCCGAAGGAGCGCTCGGAAGTCGGAGTTGATGAACTCGGTGCCGTTGTCCATGAGGGCGTACTCTACCGCACCGTGTTTCTCGATCAGCGGTTTGATAGAGGTGTGCCACGATCGAAACGCGTCGGCGACGGGGCCTTGCCCCACAGAAACATCACCCACCCGTAGGTGGTGTTGGTGTTGATGATCATCAAGAGGTATTGGGAACCACATATTACCAGGTCTTGAGTCGACCTTCTGCCCACAGGCACCAGAATGACCCCCAAATCGCACAAGAGCCGTACAGTGCTCAGCCCTGTGACCATTCCTACCGCACCGGCTACACGATAAACCCATCCCATCGGCTTGCCTGGAGGGGGGGGGGGATTCCGGTGGATAGTATCTGGCGTTTTTACCACAGTCGAGCATACCTCCTGCGCCAAACCGCACATTGCCGACCTCACTAGGATTTCCACTGTGGTACTGCGGTTGCTGCCGCTTCTGCTGCTGGCTCCCACCACCTCGAGCCATGTACGTGTGCTGCGGCATGAAACGCTCGCGGGGTCCCCACTGCTGACCCATTTGACCTTGCTGCTGCTGCGAAGCCCACTGCGCCCCCCCCCGACCTTGCTGTTGCTGATAGATCGACTGCTGCTGTTTGTAGGGGATGTCCTTAGTTGGAGGCATACATGCCGCCGCCCTGTTGACGGCCACCGCTACCTCCCGCGCGCATACCTTGTTGCGTATCTCCCCCAGCGAGAAGCGCATGCGGGTTGCTCTGCGCCGTGGGTGCAGAAGGCGCGGCTGCCGGCGTTGTCACAGTAGACGCCGCTTTGGGATGCGTGAAACTTGTGCACGCCGCCGGGAATAGGACCTCTGGATAATCTCCTCTACCCGTTGTCTCGAAAGGCCCGGTTCAGAAAGGGTTGAGTATTTCTCGGTGTCGTGCTTTTCCGGAAGTTGGCGAATGATGATTCGTACGATACCTCGCTCCGATTTCTGAATCCCTGCAGCTTCCAGCGTGTTCAAGGTCGCGTCAAACGGCGAGAAAACTCGCTTAGGTTCTCGTCGTGTCAACGCATCTCATGTGTCTCAAGCGCTTGTTCTAGGAGGTACAGCTCGTCGTCACTCTTCGGGAGAATCCAATTTCTGATCTTTTACCACGCATCCCACACAGAAACACAGCGGTGAAGTCGAGACTCGAGCGATGTACCAGTGGTAGAGTCGAGCAAGAACCCAAACGCACGAGTAAGATCACTGACCGTCCCTTGACCGTTTTGCGACATTAAAGACGCACGGTTGTCGCTGTTGTTGATCGGCAAACGTGGAGCGTCAGGCAGTAAAAGGTGACTGACGTGCTCACGATCGAACAAGTTTACCAACCGTTTTTGCCAAGTAAGGTGGGCTTGGCCATTCCCGTTGTTGGGAAGTTTTGGGGGGAGTTCCTTCCTGCCCGGCACAAAATACGAATCAGAAAAACGCATTTCACCGTAGGGCCTATTCCTCCCCTGAGACCACATCATGCCTCCTCCACGAGATAAGCTACCAAATCCAGTGTTGGAAGGCCAACGGCCTCCTCCATCGCCGCCGTAGCCACCGGTGCCGCCGCCATCCGTGGTTCCTCCATCGGCAGTAGATTCTCTGAGCCACCGGGCTGCATCATCAAGCTGGGCCTTCTGCTGCAGCTGCAGAATCTGTTCCTCTGCCTTTTCCGCCGAATCCGCTCCCGCTCTCTTTCCTCTCGATCTACATCACCCAGTGTCTAAACACTCTCCAGCTCCTTGGCAGTCTGCGCCAGCTCCTTGGCAATCTGGGCTTGCTCCTTGGCAGTCTGGGCTAGTTTGGCTCTTAGTTCAGCCACCTCATATTCTCCTTCATGAGGCATCTCCACCAAACACCACATACACACACAAGGTAGCAGGCGAGGAAACGTCGAAGAAGAGGGCATTGATCCGCTTGGAGGAAGCGAAAGGCAAGGGAGTTTTGTCGTGGTTGACAACGCAAGGGTTGTCAGCAGATGAAATAATGCTGCGTAATCTATATCGGGAGTCAAATCGGTCGAGTACTGGGGAGTCAAGATCAAACAGACTACGACACAGGCAAACTTTTNGGAAACGCCAAAGAAGAGGGCGTTGATCCGCTTGGAGGAAGCGAAAGGCAAGGGAGTTTTGTCGTGGTTGACAACGCAAGGGTTGTCAGCAGATGAAAGAATGCTGCCTGATCTATATCGAGAGTCAATCGGTCGTGTACTGGGGAGTCACGATCGAGCAGACTGCAACACAGGCAAACTTTGTGGTGCAGGTGCATTGTTACCATGCAAGGACCGCTTGAGCCGAGCCCACTCCCTCGTCTGCACCAAGACCGGCGCCTCAACCTTTCTCCATCATAGGATGGTTCGGGTAATCCTCAAGACACTGCGCGAGTGCCATATACCCATCGCCGTTGAGGATTCTTCCCCTTATACCACAGGCACTGATAGGGGAAAGGGGTTACACAAAATTGATTTGGCAATCCCCCGAGGATAACACGCAGGAGAGAAGGGAGAGGAACTCTGCATCAAGTCCATTCACTCTGCACCAAGTCCATTCTTATAGACGTAGCAATCGTCAACCCATCCGCAGGTCGAAGCATCGACAAGTCGATCCAAAAGCCAGGATTCGCCCTCGAAGATCGAGCCGCAAGTACGGCAAATTACTATGCGGGAACTTTCAACCCGTCCACATCTACCCTCCTTACTGCTGCTTTTCAGCGTATGGTGGTCTTGGTAAAGCCACCAATCGACCCATCGTAGCTATCTCCAACCACTTGGCACACGAAGCTTATTGCCGGGGGATTTATGACGACGAAAGAGCCTTACTTCGCCTGAAGCTTTTCACACTAACAGGATTCGGAGACGGTGTACCTTCGAGCTAGCTCGTTTTCTGTCGATGCGAACTCGTGATGTATCCAACCGTTATGGGCTACTGATCGACCAACTTCCACCAGGGCCAATCGGTTGGGATCTCTGCGACAACGATAGTAATGAGGGTAGTTCTTTGGGGAGTGACGGAGACGAAGGAAAGGGAAAAGGACGAAAGGAGAACGAAGACGACGATGGAGGNCGGAGACGGTGTACCTTCGAGCTAGCTCGTTTTCTGTCGATGCGAACTCGTGATGTATCCAACCGTTATGGGCTACTGATCGACCAACTTCCACCAGGGCCAATCGGTTGGGATCTCTGCGACAACGATAGTAATGAGGGTAGTTCTTTGGGGAGTGACGGAGACGAAGGAAAGGGAAAAGGACGAAAGGAGAACGAAGACGACGATGGAGGAGGAAAACATGGAGGATTGGAAGAGAGCAAAGGGTTTGAGCCAGATGACCTCCCCCCCAAAAAATAACGAAGGGCTAGGGAATAATTGGCAAGAGATTGTCGTCAAAATGGGCATCAGAATGATGGTAGCGACAACAAAGGGGATAATGGTAAATGTACTCCTAAACGAACTCGAATACAAGGTAGGCAATAGCCTTGGTAGACGCGTGCAGTTTTCTTCTGTTGCCACCGTTTCTGTCTTTGATCCGAAGGAAAATTTAGCCTCCTCCATGCTGCCCCCTCACGGGGTCCCAATCCATGGCAGATAGACGCGTTTTGTGTTTTCAACTGCACTGAGACTGACGTCTTTTCATTGGTCAGCCGGATAGCGCGGTCGATGCAAGTAATAATGACACACACATCACGAGCTCCAAACTGTGACGAACGCGGGATTCAAAACGTGCAGCGCCGGAAGCTCCAAAGTGTGACGATTCCGCTCACACGTAGCTCCTCACTAATACCGACACCCGCAGGATCCTTCCTCGATATATCGTGTTGGGTAGCGGGTGCTTACCGTCAGAGGCTGTGGGCAGAAGGTTGACTCAAGACCTTGTATTATTTACGAGTGAACAGCAGGGCAAAAAAACCTGCACACCAGAAGAGGCTGTGAACAGCAGACCAAAGCCGAACCCCGGTGGCAAACACCGGGCGGGGGAGAACAAGAGGGGAGCGAACTGTTTGAGAGAGAGAGAGAGAGAGAGAGAGAGAGAGAGAGAGAGAGAGAGAGAGAGAGAGAGNGAGAGAGAGAGAGAGAGAGAGAGAGAGAGAGAGAGAGAGGGAGAGAGAGATGCAGATAGAACGTTGAGAAGAATCAGACTCTTGGCAGGCACCAAGGTAGAAACAACACATGAGGCCCTCCCAAGGTGGACCAGAATTTGAATTGCTTGTTTCACATCACATTTCCCTGGAAACATCGGCATCCTCCTCCCAGTGTCTGTTCTGCCCTACATCATATCGTGCTCTGTTTTGTGTTCCCGCTCGGACGTCGAGCTGTTCCAAATTCAACCCCGCTGACGTGCCAATTCTCGATCAAGACCCTCCATGCCAATTTCACAGATACCTTACGGATTGTAGGGATGCGAGGTCTAGGTGTAGCGACTACGGTATGCGTTGACATGAGTACACCCCCCTCCCGCCTCCCCTGCCACGCTCTCTCCCACCAGGTGCCGAGCTACAAGTTCATCCCCCTGACGTGCCAGATTTCGAGCCGGGTGGGGTCGGCGAACGACCCGAGGTTCCGCGCCTGCATGCACGGCGGCCTCATCCGAAGGCGCTGCCTCGAGCACCCCTACCACTCCCTCTTGCAGCTGCTGGCCTGACAAACGGAGAGAACGTCAGCGGCGGGGGCGGGCACGCAGGCGAGAATCACATTTTTTGATGGAGGGTTGACTCTCGTGTGTGTCCATGCCGTGTACTCGATTGGTTGCGTTTCCTTTGATCGTGGGCTACATGTTTGAAACTACAATATGTACCACCCCGAACCCTTACCACGATCGTACCGCACCGCACCGCTCCGCTCCGCAGTTCGAGCAGAACGTTTCCGCCGAGAAGATCCAGGCGGCGAGGGGGCTCGCGGATGGGCTCAAGAGAGTCGACGCACCAGGGCCTTCTGCAGCGGCGGTTGGGGGCCCCGGGCCGGCGGCATCTTTATCCAGCATGTCCGCCCTCGTGTCGGCGCTGGAACGACTGGCGGAGGCGTACATCGACCCGGCCATGGTGGGTGGTACAGCAGTACGCGTGTGCAGCGGCGGCGAAATCCGCCTCATTTTTCGTTTCTCCTAAAATGTAGAACTTTTGTGATTTCGTTTTTTTCCGGGCGTTTTTTCTGTCTTCCGTGTTGGTGACTGTCGTCAATTTTGCGCCAACCTGTGTCTGCTGTGCTTTTACGCCGGCCATTCTGCTGACGATGAAGGTTAGCTCTCTGTCCTGCTTGTTTTACGACAAACCAAGCAATTGACGCTCTTGTTTTTTTTCGGTACTTTCTTGGTCAGTGTGTCTTTTGACGCGTCGGCCCTGCTTGTTTGCCCAATTCTCCCGAAACCCAACCCTCCTTTTTGTTGTTGTTTCGCAGGTAAACACCACCAAGTTCCACGACAAGAAGACGGGCGGGATCACTTTCGCCGAAGCCGTGCCCAAGGGCAAGCCCACGCTAGACCGCTGCCTGCGCGATCGAGGCTCGGGTCTGGCGGCAGGCTCTCGGGGTAGAGGGAGCAGCGAGAGCAGCGGCGGTGGGAGAGTTATGTCGGGGGTCGTGACGAGGCCCCCGGCGGTGAGGGCGGACGCGGACTATCGGAGAACGCCTACGATAGCGGGCTTCCAGAACTCCTTTTCCATCACCGACAGGTTTAGCTTGTTTCCTTTTTTTTTGCATGGTCTGGTGTGTCGCGCCCGTGTGTTTTGTTACGTTGTTGCCTGTGTGTGTGGGTGCGTGTTCTTTTTTTGTTTCCTCCGTTGTTGCTGTATGTGCTGTGTCAACGTATGGTATGTGTGTGTTGGTCTGGTGTGTCCCGCCCGTGTGTTTTGTTACGTTGTTGCTTGTGTGTGTCGGTGCGTGTGTATTCTTTTTTTGTTTCCTTCGTTGTTGCTTCATGTGCTGTGTCAACGTATGGTATGTGTGTGCTGTGTGCGTACAGTAGTGTACGTTTGTTTCTTTACGGTTTAGTAGCAAGCATCGACCGCTCTAACTTACCCGATGGACCAATGAGAGAATACGACGATGGTTAAGTTTCAGACAAACATCTACCGTTTACGTCTTTTTCTCTGCTGGTAGTTTCGTCCTTTGTAGTGTGCGTGACTGTCTGTGCCCCCTCTATCTCTCGCCGCCCTTTCGTGGACAGGTTCACACTGACTGCTCGCGGTTATTGATGTGTCTGTGGGTGCCTTCATTCATCATCAGCGGCATTCACCGCCCGAAGATCGTGCACTGCGACGATTCCACGGGGCACCGCTACCGGCAGATGGTCAAGGGCGCGGACGACATCAGGCAGGACGCGGTCATGGAACAGGCGAGGAGATGGTTGCTTCGATTACATGATTGAATGTTGTTGTTGCCTTTATTCGATATACTCGTAGCACAGCATGCGGGTGGTATATTGCGTATACATATGCGGGTATTGCAGTGACGAACTACGGAGGAACAAGAAGTTTCTTTATGTTTTCCTTAGGAGTGTGGTAGATTGGTGGACATTCATGGAGATTAGTTTTGGGTGTTTGAGCGTTATGCGTGACTTGATGCCGTGATGGAATGACGAGCTCAAGCACGCCCCCGATTTATACAACAACACGTATACAACACGTTTTCCAACACGTCTGCACGACTTTACCTACCCCTACGGCCCGTAATGGCCGAGCTGCTCTACACTCCCATCGCACACAACTGAGCCACCCGAATGATCGATCAGCCTTCACAGGCGAGGACGGTTTGTCTCGTTGCCTTCAGCGACCTGCGGCTTATATTTCATCCCACACGAAAAAAGAGTTGTCTGACCTAAGTGTGAAGTGTGGACCATTGGTTTTTGTTCCTGGCTTAAATGAGCTCTCACAGCGTTCGTTCTGCACCATGTGACAACCCCCCCCCTCCCCCCCACTTCAACGCTGTGACTACCTACAATCAAAAGGTGTTCGCGACGGTGAACACTTTCCTGAGGGAAGACCCCGCCGCCCGCAAGCGTCGGCTGCGTGTCTTCACGCACACGATTGTGCCCCTCTCGCCGAACTCGGGAGTGCTGGAGTGGGTGGAGGACACGATGCCCTACGGGTCCTACCTCACCGATCGGGACTCGGGCAGGGCGGGCGCGCACCGGCGCTACTTCCCGAAGGACTGGTGAGGGAGATGGTGTTTGATTCGTTGATTTTTTAGTTGATTTGAGATTGGTTGGTGAGATTTCGAGATAACGTTTGGTTGACTGATGTTGAATTCTGTGTATGTGTGTTGTGTGCGTGGCTCTTGTGGTTTGGCTCAGACGAACCCCATTTTTTTCCCCAAGCAANTGATGTGAGAGCCTGGTCCGGTGAGAACCCGGCGTGCTCCGTCCCGGCTTTGTAGGGATGCGAGGTCAATGGTCTAACGACTACGGCATGCACGACTATGAGTACCCCCCCCCCCCCCACTTCAATGCTGTGACTACCTACAATCAACAGGTGTTTGCGACGGTGAACACTTTCCTGAGGGAAGACCCCGCCGCCCGCAAGCGTCGGCTGCGTGTCTTCACGCACACGATTGTGCCCCTCTCGCCGAACTCGGGAGTGCTGGAGTGGGTGGAGGACACGATGCCCTACGGGTCCTACCTCACCGATCGGGACTCGGGCAGGGCGGGCGCGCACCGGCGCTACTTCCCGAAGGACTGGTGAGGGAGATGGTGTTTGATTCGTTGATTTTTTAGTTGATTTGAGATTGGTTGGTGAGATTTCGAGATAACGTTTGGTTGACTGATGTTGAATTCTGTGTATGTGTGTTGTGTGCGTGGCTCTTGTGGTTTGGCTCAGACGAACCCCATTTTTTTCCCCAAGCAAATACCACCGTGTCTTTTGCCCCCCCCCCTTTCTCATCGTTGTTGTCGCAACTTTTGCTTTCATAGGCTCCATGCCAAGTGCCGGACACACCTCAAGAACGCGGTGGACAAGCGCAAGGGGTACAAGGAGGTCGAGGACAACTTCCACCCTGCCTTCCGCTTCTTCTTCCTCGAGAACTTTCCGGAGCCGTTCGCATGGTACAACAGCAGGCTCACCTTCACCAGGTACAGCAGTTCTATTCTAGACGGGGGGGTCGTGGTGTGGTGTGGACCTCCCTGCTGTGCGGGGGGATACTGGCTGGGTGTTCGTGTCTTGCATGTTGTCGCTACAGGCGCCGACAATTGTTGTTGTTCGGCCTGGGATGAATTGAGTGCTCCCAAGGGGCGGCGTTGTCGCACAAAGCTGTACCATACACTAGCTTGACAAACAACTCCTTGGCGTGCTTGTGTTGTCGGCTTTTCCGTCCTTGTTCTCAAGGAGACACAACTGCTGTCATAGCGAAACAACCCTCTTGAACTTGTGGAATCTTGGACCCCCGCCATCCTTTGCACTAATGCCTATGGCAAAACAACACTTTCAACTCCTGGTTTATTCGAACTCCGCCTTAACGTTATTGCGTGCGTTCGTGCGTGCGTCACACCACGGCAGGAGCGCGGCGGTGAGCTCGATCGTCGGCTACGTCCTCGGCATCGGCGACCGGCACGCGCACAACATCCTGGTGCACCAGCGCACCGCCGAGGTGGTCCACATCGACTTTGGCGTCACCTTTGAACAGGGCAAGGCGCTGTCCACGCCAGAGACGGTGCCGTTCCGCCTCACCCGCGACGTCGTCGACGGCATGGGCGTCACCGGCACGGAGGGCGCGTTCCGACGGGCTTGCGACGCCGCCATGCGCGTGCTCCGCTCCGACGCCCCTAGCGTCCTCACCATCCTCGAGGTCCTGCTGCACGATCCCCTTTACCGTTGGATGCTGTCCCCGCTCGCCGCTAGGAGGAGAAGGCCGGCGGCGGCGGGGCGGCGGCGGAGGCGGCAGCGGCAGCGATGGTGGCGGTGGCGGGGGATGACGCCGGGGTCGGCGGGGACGCTGCCCAGCGGGCGCTGGCGAGGATCAAACACAAGCTGCAGGGGTACGTGGACCCGAACGGGGACGCGATGAGCGTGGAGGGGCAGGTGAAGCTGCTCATCAACCAGGCGAGGGATCCGGAGAACTTGTGCAAGCTCTACGTAGGCTGGGCGCCGTGGCTGTGATTTTCTTTTCTTCTTTTGTTGGGGCGTGCGGTGCGTTGTGTTCTCTTGAGATTGTTTTCATGGGTTTCGGCGATTTTGGGATGACGGTGTCGGTGACTTGTGATGAGATCGTTGAGTTTGGTGTCGCCTTGAAAGCGGGGCTGGTGAAGTCAGGACTTCCTACCGGTGCTGCCTATACAGTATATTTACATAGTTGGAGATTGTTAACCAGCCGCGTCGAAGAACGACACGCCCCTTTTTCTCCCACCTCTTGCTCCGGAATTTAGAGGAAAGCGGCGTTGTGCTTTGCGGACTTATCCTGGTTGGTCTAGTCTAGTCTCTGTTCAGGATGTTGCTGGTCCGCCAGCATTTCGGTACTTGTTGTTTGTGTTAACGGGCGGTGTTAGGCGAGTGTTGCTTTGTAGCGTAGGCGTGCGTCTGAGCGTAGCGAGTGAGTGTCGTTGTTGTTGCGTGGCGACGAGGATGGCGGTGGTGGGGCCGTGAGTGTGGATGCTCGGCGACAGTGGCGATGCGGCGTTTCTTCTTGGTTCGGTCGCTGCGGCACCCAAACAAAACTACTTTATTGTCATCGTGCGTCTCGTTCGCTCCATTTGTTCTGGACATCTGACGTCTGTTCACCTTTTGGTGTGATTCCCGTAGAGACACGAGCCAGCTTGACGTTGGAGGCAGAAGGCCGCACCAGAAACCTTGTCGTTTTTCTGCCCCTCCCCTCTGCGGTACTTGTCTTCTTTGTATATTTCGCGAGCGGTTCAGTTGCACACTAGACTGCGTTTCCTCCGTGTCTTCCGTTCATCAGTTTTCCCGTCTTGAAACACAAAGAGGCGTCATTGCCGTCAAGGGCTGCAACCCCGCTCCCCGGTCCTCAGGGATACAAAGGGCGAGGCAAATTCGGTCCCAAGGGACACCTCTCTCACGACTCTTCGGGCAATGCTGCCTAGAGCCCGACTGGTACACATGTTTGTCGCAGCGCGGAACACTTTTGGCTGCACTGGCCGTCAGTCATTCAACGTAGAACCTTGACCTTGCAATCGCCGACAATGACGTAGTGCCTGGAGGCCGGAAGACAGCAGTGCTGTGAAGGAAGGAAATGGGCCGAAAGGAATCACAAAACCACCATGACCTCCGTCTTGAAAGGAGGGCGCTGCAAGGACAATAGAGCGGGTAGGACAAAAAACGACACTTTAGGGAGACAGACGACTTGGCGTCCGAAACACTCCAGAACAATTAAATTGGTGTAAAGTGCAACACACAAAAGATAAGTGTGCCTCGAGGGAACTGCAACGGACAAATACCTCACCAGGCTTGCTACATAGACTAGACGTGACGCTGGGAACAATCCACCCCCTCCTCCATATAACCCCATGTGCAAAGACGGCTTACAGTTTCGAGGCAGCAAAATAAAACCGTGGTCTAGAAACTGCCCAAAGATTGCGCTTGGCAACGGGCAAAGCCGACCCTACAACCAATGCCTGTGTGCGGCTGGCGAGAAAGAAAGTTCGCGCCGGACCATGGGACAGAACAACGTCGCTGAATCCAATCTCTTCAAGTCGCGGGGTCAAACAACGATTCCCGTTGGTACATTTTGGACCTCAGGGAGCGCAGAGCAGCCACTTCATCATGACGATGAAATGGTCTCCATCACTAGGTATGACTGTCCGGTCGCGACATCCGGAAACCGCGTTGACATGCAAGCGACAACAAGCGATCATGAAGCGGCAACAACGCCAAGAACCAAAAAAAAGAAAAAACGAAACCGGGCCGGAATCACACGGGCACGCCATCACCTCGTCCTCCTCCTCGGTGTTGAATTGAAGGCCTTGCTGAACAACGCTGAGAGGCTCACAAGGATAACTTCACAAAAGCTTCTTTGACCCACGGTACGGATCTCCGTTGCCCTTGCTAAAAGTAGTATCGTTCGAGAAACTGCACATGTCCACAGAGTAAGTGCCCAAGAAATAAACATCTTGGAGGCGGAGCGCACGGTCCCCACCGGGATGAGAAGAAAAACGAAAGAAAAATCAGGCTTTGGGTCGGTGGTGGAGACCCCTTCCTAGAAAATGTCCTCGGCCATGATGACCCAGTCAAGTTTCCCTCGTCGATAAATCTCTATCCCTTCCATCGTGACTCGCAGCTCGAATGAAAGGTCTTTCCTCCTCAGGAACCCGAGCCAAGATGGCCGGGATTTGCGCTGCACGATTGTGCCGTCGATGGAAACCTCCTGCTCAGTTGAGTATTGTTGGTGGTGCCGCAAACAAAGCGGTTGAGGGGGGGGGGAGTGTCATGGGACATGGTGTCTGTAGATTTTTCAGGGGGGGATTTGGTGTGCCGGCCATGGGGTTCTGCACCCACTACATCTGACTTCTACCACCGATCAAGCGTTCCAGAATGAGAGGGGGGACATTACTGAATCTACAATTAACCGGGGGGAATACTGCAGGGTGCAGTTTGCAAGAAAAAGAGACAACAGTTCCGCCCTTGTGGACCAAATCATTAACGCTGGGATCGATCCCAACCTGCCACAAAACATCCTACCAAAACCCCCTGACACTCCACGGCTCAAGACCCTTTGCTTCCCTCCAACGTACCAAGGTTCCCCTGTTGGTGAGCTTCAGCGTGGCCTCCATCAAGTGAGCCTCCGCGTGCTCCCGCGCTCGCCTCCGGCGGAAGCCGTTCTTGCCAAACGGCAAAGCGCTCATGATGGCGGCTACCTTTGACCTCTTGAGTTCGCGGCCCTCGCGCAAAGCCTTACTTCTCTCCAACCTCTGCGCCCAGATTTCGGAACGGTTCCTCTCGATCTTGGACATCTGCTGCTCGTTGGGGGTGAGAACAGTCATCAGCTTCTGCGGTACGGGACCGATCTCTCGCCCTTCCTCGTCCCGGGGTACCCTTCCGACGGACGCGGCGTGCACGACGGAGCCGGAGTTGGGCGAGACGTAAATCATGGCCTTCTTGCCCGGGCTCACTAGTTTCCCGAACAGAAATCTTTCGGCCCGCAAGACGTTCTCGTCGTGGAACTCGTTGGGCGGGGAGAACGAGTTGCCGTTGCGGTTGCGGTTGCTGTTGTTGTTGTTGTTGTTGTTGCTGCTGTCGCCGTTGCTGTTGTTGTTACCGCCAGTACCGTTGCGCTTGCTGTGGCGCCGGTCCTCCTCCTGCTGCTGCTGCTGTTGCCTGTGCTGGCGTGCCTTCTTCTTGGTGGTCCAAGAATTCGAAGCGGGAATCGGGGAAGAACCCTCGCCCCCGCCATCGGCGACAGCCTTCTTGCCGTGGTCGTTGACGGTGCGAGCGTGACGGGCCTTGCCCGTCATGAACTCGGCCATCGACGCACCGGAAGCGGGGTTGGTGCCAACGTCCGCCCGAGTGCTCGGGTCGGCAGCAGTGCCTGTCGCGGGCGTTGCAGGCGTAGCGGTGGCAGTAGATGAAGCGAGTGTGGCCTCGGATGCAGGGGCGGTCTTGTCGCCATCATCGCTGTCGTCGGGAGCAGCAGCAACAACAGTGGAGACCACCGCGGCGCGGCTAGGGGTGGTGACGGAGGAGGAGGACTTTTCGTCGGCGACTTCTCCGACGGTAGCGGCAGTGGCGGCGGCGGAGTCGCGTTCCCTGTTGCTCTTGGCGTGGCGGATGTCCAGCTTCCTGCGAAGCTCAGGGTCGGTAGGCATACTCGACGCCGTAAGGTCGGCCTCCTTCTGTAATTGGTTGTTTCGATGTGCGTGCAACGTTGGAGGGGGGTAGAGAGAGAACGAGGGAGTCAGCGACTTCGTCATGCGAACAGCCGTACAGGGGCAACTTTCCTGCAACATGTTCTTGTCGAGAGAGCGTGCACGCCAGGAGGTGATGGCTAGGTGCAGGTGAGAAGTTGCCTTCTGAATCTTTCGCTGTATCCTCCTAGAGAGATTCGGGAAACAAGTTACGGAGGAGTGCCGCCACTTGGAAGGAGCGACGTCTTCCGAAGACGGGCCCGAGCGTTTCGCAAGCGCTTCCACGGTCAATGAAAAATCAACAACAGAAACGACCCTCCCTCGTGAACTACTGCATACGTGCGACACCGCCAGAGTTGATCATGACCTACCTGCCGCAAGGAGCTCGAGCCTGAGAAAGAGCTTACGCCCGAAACTCAACCAACATGTATGTGTGTTTCTCCTTCACAATACGAAGATAATCCTCATCATTGCTCATGCATGGCAAATTTGAAAATTTGAAAATTGTGAATCTCACGGAGAACATGCGGCTTCGTCGACGTGGAAGACGACATCGGACTACCAGGGATTTTTTTCCCTTTCTATGGAACGGTCTTTAAAAAAATTGGTCAATCAGAAAACTGCGGGCACCTTTTCTCTCTCTCTCTCTCTCTCTAGTACCTGGTCTGCGGCCGCAGGGTCGGCCACCACGACAGACGTGGCCGTGAACCTAATGGTGGTTCGAGATTCTAGGGACCCTTGGCCCTCGAAGGCCACTACCCCGTGCTTGTCCATCTGCGCATATGCGACAACCAAATGGCAGCAGCAGAATCAGCAGCAGCAGAGGTCAGAGATATCGTTGTTGCTGCTGCTGATGATGACGAAGACGACGAAGAGGTACGCAACGTATGGATACTCTTTCTTCTGTCAAGTAAGGTAAAGATGATGAAAAAACGGTCGTGCGCGGAGGTCACCTAATACTCTAACCACCAATAGTTTGTCTAGGCTATTCGAAGTGTACCATCGAGTTGTTTCAAGGCGACGGGAGTGTCTCGATGACACCATGCCGCGCGTACACGCGCAGAAAACCAAGCACACATATAATCCCGGGACCACATACACTGGGGCGAGTGGGACTACGTCTTGCCTCAGCATCGTCTTGGTTGGGCCAACTCAGTTTTTTCGGCAAGTGTTGGGACAGCATCGTGGCAGGAGAGGGGTACTCAAGGCAACATACCGAACACATGGGCGGCGAAATCTTTGACAGGTTGTTCGGTCATCGCTCTTTGTGCTCACCAGCGTTCCATCGAGGTGCTCGGGGAGCCACCTGGTCACTTCGAAGTGGATGCTTCCGAAGGCCCGAAGGATGGGTTGGTCATCCATCTTTCGTCGAACGATGTTTGAAATGGGGCAACAGCGGCGCGCCCGCGCGCAGGGGGGGGGGAGGTTTCCTTCATTGAAATTTACAGCTGAAAGGAACACGATGAAACGAAGGCTGTAAACATTCTTAAATCTACACCAGAAATTATTGGCAACAAAGTACACGATGGGATAGGTTTTCAGTAATATTGTAGAAGTAGTTTCGACTTGTTCATGTTGATGTGCACTTGCCTCCCTCCTCTTCATCATGACCGTCGGCGCGCGGATCGTCAACTTCGCCCCTGGTTGGACCTTGAGGGCAATGCCCATGGTGTTCATCGGGGCGTGTGAGCGCACCAGCGTGTCACCGGTGACGACGATCGTCTGTGCACGTACGTTAAGCACAAAAAAAATGACGGGCCCGAGTGAGAAAGTATTGTTGGGACGTAGGCTGTAGAAGGAAGAGCGAGACAGTGTTGGCGAAAATGCAACGAATATTTCTCACGGCAAAGACATGATATACCGCGATTTTCCCTCAGACTATATGTCATGTACTTATTTTTTTGTCTTTGTTTTTCGTCCCCCTACATTTTGGCGACAGTCCCCCTACTGTATATTTGGTGGTGAAACGTGTATTACGCTTTTCAGTGTATGTAAGAGTACAACACTTTTCAGTTTATTTTTTCGTACAACTGCAATCAACCATCCAGGGTCACACAGAAGCGGGGTAAACACCTGGGCTTTTTTCTTCCTTTTTTTGTTCTTGCCCCACTTTCCTCCTGCGGTGCTGTGCTTTTCGCCTTGTCTGTCTTTTCTCTACTACAACATTTACTTGATATGGATTTTGATCTTCCTTCATCAGCGTTATTCATGCTAAAAAAAATACTGCTGCCGATCTCGACCCCTAACTTTCGCGAGGCACCTGAGAGGATCATCGTGCAGTTCTTGCAAGGCAAATAGGTACATATCCTGTAAAATAAAGTCACACCATTAGACTAGTCAGCGCTGACTAGACAAATGGTTTAACATTTGGCGAGAAAAGGATTCCTGCACGAGTTCGAATACCGGCTGGATCACTCTTCGTTACAAGAAAATAAATTGCACCTGCAACTATCAGCGCCTGGCGAGGGGTCCGGCCCCGGAGATCCCTGCTCTCAATCCCGAGCTCTAGACCAAAGTGATCCAGCCGGGTGCCAACGAGCTGAGCGTATATCTTTTGTTGGATAAAGTTACACCAATAGACTACTCAGTCAGCGCTGACTAGTCTAATGGTGTAACTTTATCTTACATATCCCATCCAAGCAGCTAGCTGACAATACATCGCGCGCGTTGAAGAAAACAAGATGACGAAATGCATTTCGCCTATATATCCAACGGCCACAAACAATGGAAAGTGCATTCGGATGGATGATGATGGCGGTGGAAAAACCTTGGGGCGCATGCAAGGCGGACATACTTACCTCTCATTCAACTGGAAGATAGGGATGGATCCATGACGGCAACATATGATGGGCTTTTAGAGCATCATCGTGGATCTCAACCACGCGGTACGATGGGAGCCAACGGATGATGCGGAAGCGGGGGGCTCCTTGTACGCACAACGTGTGGTCTCATTTCTTGATTTTTCGAAACGATGTCGAAGTCAACCCTGCGATGAGATTCGGAAAAAGAAGCTACATGCAGGTAGGGTCCGGCCTGCACTCAGGCAGCAAGCGCCGAGAAGGAGGATCTTGGTGGCGGGCGCTTGGCTTCGCAGCAGAGCCAGTGCCGGTGCCTTCCTAGTAACCTCGGGATCATACAGATAGGCCAAACGACGCTTGCTTGGCAACGACGACCTGCCCACACACACCACTCTCTTTTTTCTGTCACCAAAATGCTCCCGAGTCTTGAGACCACTGCTACAGCAGTACAACAGTGGTATTTGGCTGTTGTTGCCGAAGTTCCAAACACATGTCATCGAAAAGGATCAAAGAAGATCTCATCTCACCTTGGGATTGGCGCCACAGTCGATTGACGAGAGGATAGTGAGCGTCGTCCCGGCCAACGTAGCCTCGGTGGGGATGTCGTCGCACGAGCGAATCCATGTAGGTCCGTCGCCGAAGGGTCGAGCTTGGATGCCCGACATCGCGCACGCGAGGAACGCGAGAATGCCGTACAGCAGCATCTTGGGAAGATGCATACTTACCGCAGCGTAGTAGGTCCTGGTGCAGGAGAGAGTATGTGGCCACTGTTCGGCTAGGGTCAGTCTCAGAGCACAGCAGGTGTGTACTCCGTGGGTGTGAGATGGATAGTGTTGTGATCGATCTCATCCGGATGGCAGAGCCGACCGCACGACAGGGGTCGCCCCCAGGGAAGAGGTAGAGTGTCGCGTCCCATCACGTCTCCTTTGATGTACATATTCACCTGGCGAACGGGTTCGGAGAGATTGTTGCCGTTCGTTCTTCCGTTCGTTCGATTGCTGCTGCTGCGGACCGATGCGGACCGCAACAAATAGTTAGTGTCTTTCCGCCCAGAAATATTCCACACACGCACGTTGAAGTTCTTCACCGACAGATATGACGCTGTTGTTGCTAGCAGCGCTTCTGGTGGACGAGTAGCGGCGTGCCTCGGTGAGTGCTATTCGGTTGCTGCACGCATTCGTTGTGCATGGGCGACATCGGGTACCGCATGATCGTCTATCTGCAGATTTGCCCCTTTGTTCTCCACGCGCATCACATATTGTTTCGAGGAAACAAGTTCGGAGGAGTGCCTGTAGCGAAATACACATCGAAGACAAGCATTATCCAATAGCCCAACAGGTACACACGCACAACGAACCCGCCTTAACGGTCGTGCCCAGGATCCTCGGTGGTGTGTTTCTTGCTGATCGAAAGCCACCCCGGAACAGACAATACCCCGTCCTGCCGTTTGTACAAGGAGCCTGGTCTACGGCATAGGATTCTCGAATTCTCCACGCTTCGTTGCGTTCACGCGAAACGATGAAAACATTGGGTGCGACGAGATTATTCGCGAGAAGCGCGGGGGGAACCGACGGTTTATTGTTTTTTTTTTGGGGGGGGCACCCACTACAATAGCGCAATGCGTACCAACATATTGTACTAGTGAATCAACAACGAAAACAACGAACATACACGTGGGCAACATGAACACAGCTAGCTATTGGTGCGGTTCAGTGCCAACGGATATCAAGGAGAGGCAGCTCACTTTATACGTGTGCGAGGGGACAATTGGGGAGGAACGTCCCTGAATATCTCTTCTTTGAAACTATCTACAATAATCGAGAAGACCAAGGCTGGCTGCAGGCAATTGGGTAGGGGGAATTGCGAACGACTCTTGTTTGTCATGAATGGATGGGACGAAGGAGATACAATGAATGCATACTCCAGAAGAAGGCACGCCCGCGGGCCGTACATGCTGTTAGAGGAGTGCTGCTACACGCAACTGTTGGTGGGTGGTATTCTGCACAAAAAGTATACCACAATGTCATGCCGAATTGACTGGGAGCCAGGTCGACAGCCTACAATATACATACTTACTTAGTATGCCGTCAACAGATTAATGTTCTGTGTTAAATGTACAACATATCCACTGAGCTAAATAGTCAGCGCTGATTACGATATAACAGTTTTCCTCGAAAACAAATCCCTCTGGGAGCCACCTTGACGCCTTTTTTCAGGAAAGAGAAAAAAGTCTGGGATACACACCTGAAAGTCATGGTACGCATCACCAGTCGTCAACGATGAAGACACATATATATCCCCGCCTGTAAGCCGATGAACGGCTTGGGGCAGCGCTGATTACAGGGATTACAACCCTGGGGGAAAACGGGAGTCAGACGGCCTAACAGCTGTTCGGACCCTGGTTGCACTTTTGTTTAATGTAAAACATATCCACTGAGCTAAACAGTCAGCGCTGACTACGTTGTAATAGTTTTTATCGACATTTTGGACATGTGTCAATGTACCCATTTTCACTCCTCGATCGACTGAATTGAATTTGTTCCCTCGTTCGACAAGTTTTTCGAAGGTTCTTGTCGACCGGGGGCGCGCGGGGATCGACACCAAAACTGGCGGTGCCCGTCAAACCACCGTCGTCGTCGTGTGCGGTTTCGCTGTCCTCGGTGATCCGTACATCTCTTCATGGAAATGGTGTTTCCTGGGAAGCTCTATATGCAGGTTTATTTCGTGGAAATTGTGGAAATTTCATGGAGGACGGGCAACATTCTTTCCCGGTGTTCTGTATCAACTTACCATCAAACCCTGGCGTTTGCCGTCTACCGCAACTTTCCTCATGGAACTGGCGAAAAATAGAATGTTTTATTTCCTACATAGCGCAGCTCGAAATGATTGTTTTCATGCCGACCCGAGCTCTCGCCATCCCGAAGCATGGACATGTACAAGGTGTACGTCCCACAGTAGAAGTTGATGCGTGTTTGTTCCCCACGGAGTTCGAATCGGAGCATTCCGTGAAAAATAAACAACTTTCACGGAAAAGTAATTTCTGTACTTCTCCTCGGAGGAAGATTTCAGATTGGGTTTCGGCCTGGACGTAGCAACACAAAGTCCTGGAAACGCGCTTGAGTGAACGAATTTCGCCCTATCCATGGAAGGTACGCTCGACTCCTCTGGAAGTTACGCTTGGCTTCTATGAAAGCTGAACAATAGGCTGTGTTATCATCGCTGCGAATTTCGACTCTGTCTGATATCACCCACCGGGCAATGATTTCGGCCGATCAGGATCTAGCAACGATGCTGACCAAGAGGACCCTGCCCGCGCATTTGCCTACACGTTCCCTCCGTACCCAGGGTTCAATCTCTCCCCCGACAGCGATGCTTGCTTCGGCTTGTCCCGTGTTCATTCTCTTACGCGGGAGCCCGGTCTCGTGGGAAACGCGCGCTCCCGCCGAGTGTACTCTGGGGCCAGGCGGCATCACTATTCTACTCGGGGTCCCTACAAGTGAATGCTCTTGCCCGGGCATTTATGAGATAACATCCCGATCGTTGCACTTTGAGCCCAGTGTCGACCTTGCGTTGCACTTTGCGCCCAGTGTCGACCTTGCGCCCCAAACATCCGCAAAGATTGGAGAGCTACCACTGAAGCAGCCGGTGTCAGTGTAAAATTGTAGGAGAACATCTGGCATCTGGCGGTGAGAGAGATTTACATTTGGTTCGGCGATGGTTCACTCTCACATCCTACCATCTTCTCGCCTCTGTCCGAGCTCGTGGTTTCACCGATCCCTTGTCCTTCACCCCTTGTCCTCCATCTTTTCAGCAATATTGCTGCACCGGACCTCTTTCAACGCCAAACCCAGAAATTGGCTGCCCTCTCCCTTATCATTC